AGTCCTGAGGATGAAACCCACGACTCATCATCTTCCAAACGTGGGGTTCAACAACAATTCTAAACTAACTCAAACATGACGCACGATTTATGCGGTTTCATATGTTAAATTCCTTTTTCAATCCCTATTTTCTCCGCTCAGTACTACAACAATATTGCAAATATGGCTACAATCAGACAAATTTCAAGCATCAATGCAATTCAATCTAACTTGGAGTCGTTCGAATGTGAAAAATCCAGATCGTTTCAAGCGTGAAATACAATATTCCATAGAGTTAGATTTTACCCAATGCATAGGTAACATATTCTACTTTCACATAGTTTTTATGTTAATCCTTTCTCTGCTGCTCTGCTTTAATGGATAACTTCTCCAATATACTCAAATACATAAAATTGTACTAATGAAACGATTATGTGTAGTCCTCTTCTATGCTGCTTTGATGGATAAATTTTCACAATCTTCAAATATATAAAATTGTATTAATAAAACGATTATGTGTGCTACCAATATTTCTCTTTCTGTTTATGAAAGTTTAATTCATAGTTGTGTACCAATTTGTATGTATATGGAATTTAGCATTAATATGATACATCCTAATAATGAATCTGCCTTTCTAAGGAGTATGTATTAGAATGAAGAAAACAATACAGAAAGATCAATATTTTTTTCTAGTATTGCTGAAATACTTTCTAAGACTGATATGAAATTTGGTACGTTCCCCATAGACTCAAGGGTCTACGAAATTGCTCCAACCATTCAAATTTTACATAAACGATATGTATAGTACATGTATTTAACTTTTTATTTCTGAAAATTAAATTCACAATTGTGCATTAATTCCTATGTAAATATTAATCTACATTCATATTTAAAAAATTGATTCTTAAATTAATACTTAGTTGACTCTTTCAGTTAATTTTTTTTATGCAACGTGTTAGTTATTTGAACTAATCAAATGTTGAATGAATGTGTGGGTGAAGCTAAGATTTATACGATATACTTCGATAGTTTTAAACTTAGAGTTGGGAGATGCTTTTTAAGTAGTTGCGTGTGATTAATAAGGTTTTGTGAAGTACAGTTGCACTGTAGAAGAACTGATATTGTCTGCTCCTAGAATGCGAAATCAAATTCTATTCCTCCCATGTTAGTTCTGCTTGCTATTTTCTGACAATAATCATCAGAGGAACTGTCCATGAAACTTCAGAAAGTTAATGCATATTGTGTTCAAAAGCTACATAAGTGTTGTAGTTGTTAAGAAGCAAATTTATAGGAGGAGTTTTTGGTGTTAACAGAGGAGTTTTTAGTGCTTTGTGAACTGATTTTATGGAGTTTTCAGATGATCATTTACATGGCTAATCTGGGGTCGTTCTTGTGGTGGTTTGATGGAGTTTAAGGGACATTTTAATGGAGGTTTAGGGGTGATTCATGGCTGGTTTGTCGCAGCAGTTATTATGGCTATAGAGGTGATTTTTATAGGGTTTAGGTGACTTTTTTGGACTATTTTTTGGAGCTTTTTGCTGCGTTTTTGTTCGGGTTTTCATGGTTGATTTGGCAGCAGCTATGATGATTGACTTTTTTCAGTAAACAGGTTCAACTAACTTTAACATATGAATTAAGAAAGACGAATACTTCTTAGAACATCTCTTATCTCAGACATAGCTTATGTTATGCACATTGGACTTACTACAAAGAGTAATAATAGCATGAGAGTTCCATAAAACTAATTTAGGTGTGTGTGCATGCCTATAAGTGTAACAAGTTTTAGTTGCAAATTCTCTAACATTTCAGTTGTTAAAGAGCAAAAAAGATTCAGATTACTTTTCTAGCCAATGTAACATACCTAAATCATGTTAAGCCCATACTAGAGACCACCTTTGAGATAACCAAAGCAGATAATAGAACGAAAAAGAGAAAAAAAAACTTACTCACACTCGATGTTTACACCAAATTATATTAGTTTATCAAAGATGGATTGATGTCAGAATACATATTACTCCTTAACTATGGTTAGTGATAGATGCATATATTAGCGATAATTATTTACGTGGAATGTGTCTGAATATGTAATTGGTGAAATTTCCTATCCAAATACTCTGTTGTTAGAGAAAATTTTAGTTTGGATGACTCTTCCTCCTAATTGCAAGTATTATGTGCAGCTATTGTTGGGCTATTTGCTAACTGAGAACGTGCTATATCCAACGGAATTGGCTAAAAAGAGGTCTTAATACAAACATTTTAAAGAGGAGTTTTTGATGAATCCTGTAAGTATTTATTCCTAATGCAGTGATTATTGGCCAAGTTCATGCAGTCAAACTTATTAGTATTACTGTTACTGATATCTAAATTGTTGGTGCTCCTGCTCATTGGTAATTGAAGAAATACTTTGCTAATTTGGTGTGGCAAGACTCATGAGGCATATGGAGACGAAGCTTGTAGATATGAAATACATTGAGAACTGGCATAACATTTGCATTATTACAATCTTTTATCGTCAGATTAATGAATTTATTTTAAAATATATTTTTTATTTAATTTAAGTTTCTTATGCTCATTATCTAATTATTATGTTGTATATGTAATATTCTATAAATTTGAGATGTCACCTTTTGTTTTAGATTAGTGAGAATGTAGCAAGGGAGATCATTAATCATAAATCACTTCGACAATCAAACATAGTTCACTTCAACGAGGCAATTTTGTGAGGGTATACATTGTTTATTTTTATGGTCCTTGTGTATTTATGTTGGTATATTTTAACAATGGCAATAAAAAGCTAAGGAATTACTACCCTAACTAATGTTCATTTTCTTTGTGAAATACAAGTGATATTAACACTCACTTATCTTGCTATTGTTATGGAATATGCAGATGGGGGGAAACTGTTTGTGCGCATCGGCTATGCAGAAAGGTTCAATGAGAATTAGGTATATTTAAATATCCTTATTTTGTTAGTAGTCAATTTTCACATCGAATACCACTATGAACGATAATGAAATGGTAATGGAGACTCTTTGTCACAATTCTATTATTTTAAAAGGCCAACTTTCCGTGTTTTTAAAAGCATTGGTTCCACATATGCAATGCTTCTCTCATTTTGGTTTTTGATTGTTGTCACTTCAGACTAGAACCTTCTTCCAGCATTTTATTTTAGGAGTCCACTACTATCACAATATGGTGAGAAACTTACAAGATTCTACAAAAAAAAATTGTGAATGTATGATATTTTTTTAGATATATCTTAGAGATGGACTAATCTTTATAAATTTTATCCCAAATACCATCTTTTTAATTTAAGGGATCTTATTTTTCTTCAAACTTCAAGTGCATGGGCAACAAAGATTTGAAATTGGACGATACACTTTTCGATGGAAGTACAGCTCCACACCTGAAGATATGTTATTTTGGAAAATCAAAGGTTGATGATGTTATGCTTATTTGTATAGACTTTTAGTTGTTTCTATTTTGTGGCTGTAAACTATGAATAAGAAGAAAAAAAAAATTAACCTCAAATATTATTGCTTTTTTTCGAACTTTCCACCTTACGTAACACTGAAAAGTCCCTCTCACCAAAGTGACATAACAACTTCACAGATTACATTCTTATACCTCACTAATCTACTAGAAATTGGTTTGCAACACAATCTAAGAATATTTTTCTTTAACATATATTTGTATTTATTGATTTTGCAGCTTCATTAGAGAAGTTTAGTCCAAAAATTCAGTTCCTCGTTCAGAAAAAATATCAGCCAAGTCGGATTTCGTGCAAAAGCTAATGCGTGATCCTAGGCTTTGTAAAGAAAAAGTGGTTGCTTCTCAACATTCAAGCTATTCATACTTAAAGTTAAATTAATGAAATGCTAATACATAATATTATATATTTTACATCTTAAGATATCATGATTGAATTATGCATGAGAATAAATATAATCAAGATAGTCGACTACAAGAGTTTAATAATACAGTGATAACTTGTATTTTTTTGATTGAAATGTTTTGAACTTTATGATAATTACATTGTAACAAGGAATTAGTACGTAATTCTAGCCTGACTTACTGGTAATAATTCCTCAGTTACATAAGTAATTACATCTTCTTATTACACCTTTCCCTTCTTTGCCTAAGAATAAGTTTTTTACTAATCGTTATTATTAGGAACCTAAAAGCTATTTGTTATCATTTCAGTGGGCTTTTGTTTGATCATGCGAGGTGGCACTTTTATGTTATGCTGGTTGGGGCATATCTTTTAGAATACCCGGAGGATCCAAAAAACTTTAGAAAAACTATTCAAATGAGTTTTTTTTTATACATTCATAAATCCAAATGACTTTACAGGTATTTAGACGTCTTAGTTTGATTTTGATGTTTCTCTTTCCAGCGAATAATGGTGGTACAGTTATTTTGGGTTAAGCATATGCTTCACGTTTGTGCCATTGACATCTCTTTATAAAACTTGTGCTATTATGGTCTATAAAATGCTGATTGTAAATGCAAGTTTATTTTCGTGACGACTTCGCTCTCACAAGCTTATATAGTCCATTTTGTTTACATGCCTTTACTTTTCAATTGCTTGAAAGTTCTATAATCTTATTTATTTTCCTTCCTAGGTCATTTCATGTTTTGATATATGACTTCATGAATGTGCAGGAGTCTAATTTTTGCCATCCACGAATTCATATTGTTTAGTATTTATTGGTAAATATTCTCTTACCTGAAAATGTTGTGCAAGAGTTTGATCCTTCAGCAACTTTAAATTCCTAAAACATAGCACAAAGAAAACTATAAGGGTAGCTCAACAGAAGAAGATATTCAGAAAAATCTTACAAATTTCTACGATGTTAACGTTGAAAGATTAATACTTCACTACTTCAGTCCTCTATATGCTGCCTTTAACTTGACAATGCATCCTTCATGAATACTTAGCTTTCTCTTCTGTAATATAGGTTTCGGCAATTAATTGAGAGAAACATATACCGTTGAATCATTGTCATTAATGTTATGTAAAAGAGAACTATTAGTTATCGTGAAGTCAATTGAAGTTTGCATCAAGAAGAAAGCAACCCTAACTTTTAGTTATGAATTATCGTCTGATAAATATGTGAAACTTCCATAAAAGAATGTTTTATTTTTCTGAGAATTCGATTTTATCCATCATATAAAATATAAACTAGAGACAACACCAAAAGATTGATAATACGTGATTGTGCACCTATGTACCTTGTGTAATTATATTGCATTTCACCTATTGGATTTTATTGCTAATTAAACAGTTACCTAATTTATATTGCAGTTAATTAAGATATTGTCTTCTACTAATTAAGTAGTTATCTAATTTCAAATCCCTTGGTTACAGATATCTCATCGAGCAATCTTAAGTCTCATCAAACAATCTTAAGCAGGCGCTATCTGCTGCCTTTCTCAAATAGTGCTAATACATATGTTTTAGAATTTGAGTATGGCCAATAATCTAATATTCCATTTTCTTTCTTAATATTTGTTTTTAATAATGGATAAGTGTGTTTCCTCATCACTTCAATTTATGAATATCGGTGCATTTACATGTTAAAAAAATAATAGCATTTGCATGCTCCTTTGTATACCGTATTTTTTTAATAATATTTTTTTATGAAAAATTATATTAATATTCTTCGCGCATCGCGCGGGTTCGGATATTAGTAAGCACTAATAGAAAGAGATTTAAACTTGTAGAAAAGTATGGAGGACAAGCAAAACTTGCTCCGCTAATAAAATACCTTTGTAGACAATAAATTTTGCGTCAAGAAAATAAAATCAAGACAAAAAAATATTGTAACAATCGTAGTATTTTATTTCAAATATTTGAGTGTTACAATCTCTATGAATCCTCTGATTCTACTTTTCCAATGTAAATTCAAGGGCCTTTGAGTTTGATCTTGAATCTATATTTGTTGTCACGAACGATGATTTTGAATTCAACTAGCACGAACTTTGATTTGAACTCGTACTCCTTGAACCTTGTTGTTCTTTGTTCTTGAGCTTGAACTTGATTTCTTGAACTTGAACTTGATTGCTTGAAGCTTGAAACTTGTAGAGAAATTTGTGGCTTTTGATCCACGAGCTATCTTTTGCTTCTTGTTATAACTTCTAGTCTTTTTTCTGGGTTATGAAAACCCCTATTTATAATTGTGGGAGGGAAGAGTTATGATAAGAACAAACTCTTTCCGACCAATCAAATTGAAGTGTGACAATGCCGCATTTGATTGGCCCGAACATGTCATTGGCACACGTGGCGCGGTTTCATTGGCCTTTTAATTTGACCTGGCATGCCTTGTCATTTTGACACGTGACATGATCCTATTGGCTTTTCCGTTTGACTTGTCGTGCCACGTCATTTGGCATGTGTCACCAAACTGGGCCACTAGGAAGATGATATCTTGGGCCTAATGAGGTGGGCTCATTATTTGTAGCCCAATTAAATGGGCTAGCCCAATAACATTGGACTTATATAATTAATCCAATTATATTAGCCCAAAATATTTATTTGGACTAATATATTTAAAATATAATCCAAGTTATTTATAGAATTTGAATCCAATAAATTTTACATCCCTACAACCTTCATCTTCAACTGAATGTTAGGAGTTCCATCACACTGATTATTATACCTTCACGTCACGGAGGTAAGAAAGAAAAATAAAATGCACAATAAATTTTCATCAGGACCGGCTCACCCTCTAGGCCAGTGACGCCACGGCTTTTTTTCTTATAAGTATTAGGATAGTGGATTTTTTCTTTATAATCAAAATTGATTATTTGGTCTCACATTAAACTTGACAAATTAAAAATACTTCATTGAAATCAGTACAGATTAGTGAAGAATCATCAAAAACTAAAAGTGTTAATGCTATATTTGATTGCATTTGAGAAGAATATAAAACACAATGCCGTAATAAACGTAAACATGTATAAAAAAAATAATTTGACCAGAATATTGACAATAAACTGATAAAAAAAAATTTAAAAAAATCATATCATCTTCAAAAACTCATTTTTTTTTCTAGTGCAACCAAATCTATGTCCAAACGCTAGTTTAAGATCACTACATGATTAGAATCTAAAATATTAATGCCTTAAGCGTTAAAGTTTCTTAAAAAAATAGTCATTATGACAGTGTTGGCTTAAACTTATTTAAACTAAAAGTATTAAGGGAAATAGTACAAGTAGATAGTAATACTTTAATAGATATACCGAATAAAATAAAATGATTTGATTCTTTTTCAAATACTTATATTATTTGGAATAATGTTAATACCTCCTGTGACAATTGTCTTTACAAAGTTTTTTAAAATTAAAATTGATAAATGCTCAATAATGTGTCAAGTGAAATAAAATGGATTGATTATATTATAAATTGAAAAGGAAATTATTAATAGATTCGCATTTCAAATAATTAGAAAATCGAAACTATTAAGTACACATATGTATAAAAAAATTAAGGTCTCTCTTTTTTATTTTTTTTGGCTTTAGGCCACAAATAGTATCGAGCTGCCCTGCTTTTCATGTAATTGCCTTTCTAAACTTTGAACAACCGTTATTATATCCTTATTCTACATATAAGACTACCCCTATGCCTCAAAGGTTATTTCTAAACTTTCCCTAGGTCGTTGAGTAATATTAGTAAAATATGAGTTCAGAAAACAGCAAAACCAAAAGACAAAATCAAGATTCAGCATATTTGTCCAAGGGAAGAAGAAGAAGAGTGAAAGCAGCGGTAGAAGAAGAATGAGGGATACGACAAAAATGAAAGCGCTGAGATCTGGGTTAGTAGTAATTGGAGCTGTAGCATTTGGTTACCTGAATTTGCAGCTAATGTTCAAGCCCTTTCTTGAGAAAACACAGTCACAACAAGCTCTCCTCCACTCTGAATCATCCCAACAACAACAATCCGAGTCAGACCAAAGCTTATGACTATTTCATTTTAAGTTATGGTTCATTTTATGTAATGCTTTTGCTTTTTTTTCTTGATCCCATGTGGAAAAACTGGTTCAATATTTATAATTTTCAGCCCTGTAGCTCTTTTCTTATAATTCATTGTTTAAAGGTTATGGTGCCAACTCACTATTATCCATATTATGTAGCTGATCCTAATGATTGTTAAGTATGTTTACGACAAAGTAGGAGTCGGAATACATTACAAAGGGATTAAAAGGATACTAGAGTATCAATCCTAGGGCTTGAACCTGTGACATAAAGCAATTTTTAACCCCTTCTCCACTACACTGAAATCTTTCCTTTTGTCAAGGGGATTCAATTGTTTCCATTTAATAAAAAAAGTTGTTTTTGCCGTATTGTGGAATGTAATTTTCCGGCCAAGTGGATTCAATTGAACCCCTTGACGACACCTAGCTCTATTCTTGGTTTATCCAGCCAAATGGTGGATTCAGTATTTTAAGTCAGTGGGTGGAGTAGCAATGTGTCTACTGCTTCTTTGTTTCAATTGTTTTTTTTTTTCACAATTGATTTGGACTTAGCATAAATGTATATTCAAAAAAAAATGTATGCACATCTACGGTCGAAGGCAGTGGGTGCATCTGCACAATGCGGCCGTCCTGGTAAATCATCCCATTTTTGTGTCAAAAGCTCTTTATTGGATTAAATTCTTGCTCATAGAAGTCTGAATTTGAAACTTATTTTTAAGTAGAAAGGAAAAAAATCTTGTCTTTGGAGGTGGACCAAGGCAGTTATTTCTTGGCCATGCTAATAAAGGATAGGAGGTAAATCTTTCTCTAGCTTTTTTTTTTGTTCCAATATTTTGTGGTATTTGATATTGTAAGTAATGCTGCAGGTGCTGATTGTGTGTTTGGATGTGAGTTGGGATAAGGAAGTCAGGGTCTTAGGAAACATGATTTGGCATGGGATAGAGAGTTGGAAATGGGGACTCTATCAAGCTTTGGCTATTTGATTATTTCTATACTGTATCTAATAGTAGCCCCATGTTTTGGTGAGTGATTAAATTACTGATTTTCTTTTCGGCGATTTTAACCAATTTTATCTTCAACTCCTTTATTCTATTTCAAGAGCTAAGGAATCAATGGCACTTTGTATTAGGTGTAAGAGGTGACATGAAAATGATCATTGATTTCTTGAGCTGCTAATCTGCTATACAAATGGTTTTGGTTACTTAATTGTTGATCTTCTTTTGCTATGTTCTCAAACTGACAGAATCTCTAACTGAAGCAGAGGAAATTTTTGTTTCAAGTAGCTGCTAGACGAGTAAGGTGCCTAGGTGTCTTTATTTCATTTCGATAGTGGCTTTTTATGGCAGTGTCATGGTTGTTATTGTGTAACAGTGTTGGAGAACATAGGTTTAGAGGTTTACTTTACCTCTTTTGCAGAAAAGAGGTTTCAATTTAAGCAATAGGTTTGACACAGTGTTGGAGAAATTTCTCCCATTGACCAACTTCAACCATTTCCACTTACTTAATAACCAGGACTTATGTATTTGAAGCGATGCCACCTACCAAAATATGTATCGGAAAATGAGGACCTGAATGGAGAATATGAGATACAATTGTTTGGGTTTTAAGATTCTGAAGTATCTGCAGGATTTGGAATTGAATGCTAATCAGACTTTCCCGTAAGATTTAAAGAAAGAACTATGGGGATATTATATACTGGAATAGGCTAAATATTCGTTTTCCTGTGGTTAGCTGCTTAGAGAGCATTTTAACATTTATACCCGAGTTCACAAACAAAGATAAAAAGAGGGGGATATTGCATTATTGGTGTGTATTCTGCATAGAGCCAAGAGAAGAACTGAATCACCTTTGCTACATGTTCACGTTGTGATATAGCTGCCTGGATTCAGGGCGATACTAGAATGATCATTTTATTACTTCGAATGTGGTCCTTGTCGAATTGTTTTGGTTCCTTGAATGTTCACTTCTTTCTATAAGTTCTTAAATAAATAAAAGGTTCAACTGAAACAGAGGAAATTAGTGATTTAAATACCTACTAGAGTAGTACAGTGCCTAGGTGTCTTCATTTTGCTTCTGTAGTGGCCTTTTGATGGCTGTATCATTGTTGTTTTTATACAATGGTGTGGAGAAATAGAGGCTTGGAGGGATAGTAGAAATTCTTAAGGAGACACCGATCTTAACTATTTACCTCACTTGGAGGAAGATAAAAAATGCAGTAGCTCACCCTCGGAGAACTTCAAGACTTTGGCTCATTAGTAAGAGCGTAGCTCGTGATATGTGGGTTAGGTGCACGTCATGAGTTTGATCCTTGTAGCAGACAAAAATCTAGTATTTAAGTAGGGAAGGATAGAGGCGCAGTTCCATTATCCACTGAGTTTTGAACCGTGCGTCAACTGGCCCTTGGGATTTCTCGGTTACTAAAAAAAAAAAGAAGCTGCTAACACTTGGAGAAGAATAGGATGGTTATTATGAGATTTCAGGCGGAGCTTTCAGAGAATATATATTTTCTTGTAGGTATTAGCGGGAGAAATTCAAAAATAGCCAGATTTACAAGTGGTAATTGAAAAATAGCCACAGTTTCAAAAGTAATCGAAATTTAGCCACTTTTCATGTAAAGATAAATTTGAACGAAAACACTGTTCAAAATACGGAAAATATTCCAGCATAATATAGTGGAGCTCCGGTATAGTTCCATTATAATATACTGGTCCAGCATAATATGCTGGAAGTTCATACACAGGTACTCCAATCTCCAGTATATTATGCTGGAACTTTCCGCGTGTTGGAGTTTCAGCATAATATGCTGGAAGTTCATACACAGGTGCACCAATCTCCAGTATATTATGCTGGACCGGTCCGTGTTACAGCAAAATAGTGGCTATTTTTCAATGACTTCGCAAACGTTGGCTATTTTTGAATTACCAGTCCGAAAACTGACTAGCCCGTGTTATTTTTACGCTAATAAGAGGAAGTTTTACATATGATTGGGAGGAACTTCTCCTAAAGAGCAGCTTGAACAATTTCCATTTAGTTAGTATAGGACTAATGTATCAGACATGAATGGAAAATTGTAGATGCAGTTGTTTGGGTTAGTAAGGATTTTGATTTAGATGCTAATTAGGAGTTTCTTTCGAAGATCAACCAAGCAAGAATTAATTTGGGAGATTGGATATAAGCTGGTTGGAGTATGCAAAGTTTGTATAGTTGGCAGCGTAGAAAGCATTTTAACATTAGATACCTCAGTTCACAAATACAAATTGAGAGAGGGAGATTTTGCTTGCTTGGTGTGTATTCTGCTTAGAGTCAGGAGAAGAACTGAATCTGCTTTAGAGTCAGGATAAAAACTGAATCAACCGTATAACAGTAAGTGTCTAGTTTTATAGCCCACATTCATATCCAAGTGATTAGATGAGTTGTGTAGAAAAACATTTCTTCTGCCCATATATGTTCCCCCATACTTTGCAAGTAAATACAATAAGCTTACTTTTAAGTTATCGTAATTAAGGAGAAGAATAAGAGAGAGGATTTTAACAGGTGATAGAGAGGAATTCAAAGGCATCTAATTGAGGTGGAGGTAAATGATGAAAGTGGCACTCATCTAACAGGCACTCCACAAATGGGGCCACAATATCTAAGTTTGGATGAATGAGGGCCCTAATCCTCCTCATCGACAATCATGGACTCTTGCTCTGCTATCTTGGAGTAGCTTTCAGTCATAATTATGTTTATTGGCTATTACTTTGTTAACAATGCATACATCTCACATAAGTGGAGACATTTGCATTTGTGTGAAGAAGCATGCTTTCACTCATACATATGGTGAAAGAAAGCTACATAATTTTAAACAGATGGATATAGAAAGGAGACTCCTTGATGCAGATGTCATGTCATCTGATTGTTTTCGCTATATTTTCAACATTTGCAAAGTATAATTTTACACTTACTGTTGGTAATATTAGGTTTGCAATTGTCAGGTTTAATGTCACGACCCAAAACTAACCCTTGTAGTGATGGCACCTATCGTCGAACTAGGCAAGCCGACTCATTTCCAAAAACAAAACGATATTTTCATTTCAAAGAAAATTTCAAGGTTATTTTACAAAAAACCTCCATTTAAAGAGTTCAAATAAAAAAAAACAGAAGTGCGGAAAAAAAAGCCCGACATCGGGGTGTCACTAGCCATGAGCATCTACTATAATCTGTCTAACAATATCAAGGCTAACTCAGCCTGAAAAATAGCTAAATACTACTAGAGGAAGATAAGAGGGAGAAGAGCAGGGGCTGCGATCGCCAAACAGCTACCTTGCTATCTCCAAGAAAATCTACAACCAGAACACTCAATAACCGCTACCGTGTCCAGCTACACCTGAATCTGCACGCAAGGTGCAGGGAGTAACGTGAGTACGCCAACTCAGTAAGTAACAACAATAAATAAAGACTGAGTAGTAGTGACGAGTAATAAAGCATATAACGTTCATATTAGGAAATCCCAGTAAAATACCACATGCTCTTAAAAATCAGGATTTGAATCAAACATCTCGTTTAAACCCAGTTCCAGTAAAAATTATTTAAAGACATTTTTCCAACAGTTTTTCAAACAAAGGCTCGATGCAAATGTGAGCAAAATGATAAAAATCATAAACAGCCCCTCGGGCAAACCTCACAGTCACTCTTGCCACTCGGGGATACCTCACAATCACTCTTGCCACTCGGGCATACCTCACAGTCACTCAGCACTCGGCACTCGCACTCAGTAGGTACCTGCGCTCACTGGGGGTGTGTACAGACTCCGGAGGGGATCCTTCATCCCAAGCGCTATAATCTGCACGGACAACTCACGTGCGATAATAATAAAGTATGTTGCAGGCGGGCAGCCCCGATCCACACTCATCCTCACCAATCAGACCCTCGGCCTCACTCAGTCACAAGTATGCTGCAGGCGGGCAACCCCGATCCACACTCATCCTCACCCATCAGGCCACTCGGGCATTTCAGTAAAACAGGGCATTCGGCCCAAAATATTTGACTGGGTTATGCAGTAAACAAGTATAACCATGACTGAGTATAGATTTTCAATCGAAAACAGTGAGAGGATGCTACAAAACAGCCCCTAAGGGTCCAAACAGCATTGGCGCAAGGCCCAAACATGGCATTCAGCCTAATTTACAGAAATTCTTTCTAAATCATATAAGTATCAACGGTTTAAACAAGTATGCAACTTTGCAGTTGCTACGGGGCGAACCAAGTCACAAATCTCCAACAGTGCACGCCCACACGCCCGTCACCTAGCATGTGCGTCACTAAAAATAGTAGAATGATACAAAATCTGGGGTTTCATACCCTCAGGACTAGATTTACACTCGTTACTTACCTCAAACCGGTCAAATCTCTAACCCGCAAGGCTCTTGCCTCTGGACTCAGCCTCCAAATGCTCCAAATCTATTCATAATCAGTATAATACCATCAATATATACTAATGGAATGAATTTCACAAGAAAAGCTTCAAAATTAGACCAAAACCCGAAATTGGCTCAAAAATCGCCTGTGGGGCCCACTTCTCGGAACCCGACAAAAGTTATAAAATTCGAAAACCCATCCAACCACGAGTCTACCCATACCAATTTTACCAAAATCCGACCTTAACTCGACCCTCAAATCTACAAATCTTATTCCCAAATTTCTAAGTTTCAATCTCTGATTTACACCTCAAAATCATGAAATCTAGTCTGATTACTCGATGATAATTCAATATTATGGAGTAGAAATGATCACAAGGGACTTACCTCAAGTTTTCCTTGAAAATATAACAAAAATCGCCTCTCCCTAAGCTCCAATTTGTCAAAAATGGCAAATGGGATGAAACTCCCGTTTTTATAATTCTGCCCAAACATCCTCGGTTCTGCCTCAATCTTGGCCTTCGATCGAGGTCCTCGATCCTGGTTCTCGATCATGCCTTCGATCGTGACCCTCGACCCTGGGCTCGATCATGTCTTCGATCGTGACCCTCGACCCTGAGCTCGATCATTCCTTCGATCGTGACC